GCATACCTGCTCAAATTTGGTTGAGCAGATACACTCAACCAAATTTGAGTGTATTATCAGAGGATAATACGGTCACTCTTATGGTTCTGGTTGTTTTTCCAATGTTGGAATCCATTGCTCCAAAACCTGTTGATTTTTTTTTATGCTAAAGTTCTGAATTCTTATTGTAAAACTGTGTGACAGGTGTTTGTCCGTGTGAAAAGTCAGTGTGTATAGTAGAGTAATCAACTTAGTTTTAAATGACAGTGTTGTTCCTTGTGAAAACAAAAGATTTTCTTCGCGGTAATTGTGCCAAATGCAGAAAATTGTGTGCAATGTTTTGAAAAAATTGTATCTTAGAGCTGAAATTTCTGTGTAAAGCAGGAATTGTCCTTGTGGTTTAGCAGAATTGGTTCAAGGGGTTGGTGCATGAGTTATATGTCATGACCACTGTGTCTCAAGTACACTACTAGTGTATAAACTGCAATATATACAAAAACTAATGCCGAGACTCCTAAAACAGTTTAAATTTATGATGAGACAAAACTACCAGCAGGGGGCAATGCTGGAGAGTAAAAATAAGCTTTTTATAGTCTGTGACTTGCATCTTACTTAAATAAAAATTTTTAGAATTTTTCTGCCCTTTTAAGCAGCACTCTTTTCTTCTAGGTTGTATACACATTTCAATCTGATTTACCAACATAGATTCCAAACTTCATTGTAATCTTGCCTTTTTTTTTTTTTTGCTAGGTCCCAGCTCCGTTTCAACTCAGGCTGCCTGTCATCGCCACAGTGACAAATTGATGATCGAATCCAAATGGATAAGTGACATGAAGCAAACTGATCCTCATGATTTACCTTCCAGTAAGGTAACAGAAGGGATAGAAAACACTACAGAGAAACCCAGAAAGGCAGAATACCCCCATAATCCAATGGACTCTCAGAACCAAGATGTTATTAAATCTGATGCATGTCAAACCGATTTAGATTTAAGCTATAATTCAGCCAGTCCTTCTTGTTTCGACCCTTATGGGTTTAAACTCAGCCCAGAGAACTCTAGCCACTCTCTAGTAGACCCTGATGAAGCTGAGCTGAGCCCAGAACATGCAGAAAATATTCACTTTGATGGTCATCCCTCATCGTCTTCACCTTATGAGCATAATTTTGATCCCTATGGGTTTGACATCTCTGCCTGTCAAATTGTGTGTGACTCTGACCCTTATGGCTTTAAACTAAGTCCTGATGAAGAGAACCAGGTGGTTTTAGACCTTTGTGGTAATGATGACCTGGAAGCAACCTATGAAAACAATGAAGAATTGGAGAATTTCAACTATGCTAACCAGGAAGCACTGAATGCTCAGACATATGAAAACCAAGAGGTCCTTGAAGAGTGCGACTACAATTTTCAGAACGTCATAAATTATAGAAGTACTGGAAACCAAGAAGTGTTAGAGCCACCTAGTTCATTCAGCAAGGAGCTGGTTAGTCATGAAAAAAGGGAACTTGTGGATACCAGTTCTCATGAAAATCAGGAGGTGGTGGAGACCTGTCCAAATATCAACAAGGACAATTTACTTGAACCTTGTAATTACGATAATCAAGAGGTGCTGGAAAGAGATAACCATGGCAATCAGGAACTACAAGGATTTTCATATCCTGAAAACCAGGAAGTTTTGGATTTAGATAGTCATGAAAATCAAGAGCTTCTGACTTTTTATGACCCAGAAAATCAGGCAGTACTTGACTCAGATTACCATCATAACAAGGAACCCCAGAATCTCACCATGAGTGAAAATCAGGAATTGCTAGATTTACATAGCCATGACAACCAAGAGACACCCGACATGTATAGTCATGAAAAAGTAGCCAACGTAAAAGGAAATCAAGGCATTGTAGAAACAGAACTCAATCTCAGTTTCTCTAACAACAGCTCGGACAGTGATCTAGAATCAAACAACATTCAAAGATTGGAACTTGGCCGCACAGATGTCTCTTCTACTAACACCGCCAATATTGCTACAACTGAAACACTTAAGACCATCAGCAGAATGTCAACCAAACATGACTCAAGTATTTCTGATTCCCCAAACAGTCAGATTTTTTTTGGAGCTGATCTGGGATCAGTATTTGGTGCTGGAGGATACATTGGTTGTCCTGATGTAGCTGATGATTTGGAACCACTGAAAAGAAGCCAAGACAAACCACCACCAAAATCAGCTCCAGATCCAGTACGATCTCAAAGACCTGTCAGGCCTCCAAGACCATCTCTCAAGGTAAGTTTGAAATCTTGAAGATATTTAAGGCAACTAACTTTTTTTTTTTTTTTACAGAAACTGTTCCCTGAGATAGATAATATTCAGTTGTTATCTTGAAATTGGGAGCTCATTCTATTGAGAAATGACTGCGTGCTGGAGGCGTGGTCTGATGAAGATTGATCATGTCTGGATCTGATTTTACACTGTCACTAACATTTGACCATTACGTATGTAATGCACCAGCTCCATCTTGAAGGAAGCTACACTATGAAGCTTTATGTAGATTGCCTGTGCAGTAAATAAGCGTTCACCACTGCAAAGAGAAGTGCAGAGCGTGCTAACATCTTTGCCAGCAATAAAATGCCCTAAGCATTTTATTGTTTAAGACTCTTGCTCCAATTTTCATTGCTCAATATTTGGAAGTGTGGTCAACAGGGACTGAATAACTTGGTTCATTTCCTCCGCTGCCATTTCCAAACTACAACCACAGCCAGACTACAATTCTAACGTCATCGTTCACAACTCTTCGTTCATATTTCAATATGGCTGCCCCTCACATTAACAGTAGTAAGTTGTGGGGGAAACATGCTTATTTTGCAAGACACATAAGAGTGTGTCCAAAATCAATGTTGCATGCAACATCTGCAACTCTATGATGAGCAAATGAAAACAGATGTTTGTTTATGGAAAGTAAAGTTCAAAATGATGTTCAAAAAAGATATTGTGAACAATACCTTCTTGGGCACCACCATGTTGAAATTCTGACTTCTCCAACTATATTGACTGGATGGCTGTTTCCTATGTATGACAGCTCTGACCTCTGAGAAAATTGCAACACAGCATTAGCAATGAAAGAGACACTCTCTCTAAGGACATTGAACTGCTAGCTGTTAGCATAGGTGCCATATTATCCACCACAGTAGTTGTACATGATATCACACGTATGGTGTATGTACCTCCCAAACCCCTGCTAGACAATGCTGCAATAGCCTGCAATGTCCTCCATACCAGCAAACTCCCAACACATCATCACCAGGCCCTTTTTCTGATCTCTGGGGATTTTAATCATGCTCATCTGTTCTCCACACATCCCACATTCATTCAAAGTTTTTCTTTGCTCAGCAATCATGAAAAAGTAATATTTAGAGATTAATTTATGTTTTATAATTTGGGGTTATTCAAGCTAAATGGCCATGCAGGTGTTTTCAGCCTAACCTTGGTGTGGGGAAGTTGGATTAAACTGAGTTTGAAAAATGCTTATCCTAATGATAAACATTTATTTTTTGTTTATTTTGTTGTTGTTTTTTGTTTTGTTTTTTCCAGAACAAGGAGAAGACCACATCCCAGGGTATTGACTTGAAGTGATCTCTGCTATGTCTGCACTGTCCTCTGACAAAGGCAATAACATTCCGTTTTCCTGTAAAAGAAAACAGAATGGAGATTAAATTAAAAATGGGTTATCAAACAGAAAATATTAATGGAAAAAATGTAGCATTATATAGAAAGGAAAAATGCATTATTGTGGAGTTATATGTGTCCATGCCAGTAAATTACTTGTGATCCAGAAATCGGAATTATTCAGGTGGAAAAGACGTGAAAGTACTGGATCAGTTGTCTGTGAATACATTATTTGTGGAAAATGAATACCATTCCAGAGAGACACCAGAGATGTGTATGTATATAGATGAATTAATTAACTCTGACATTGTGACTTAGAGAATAATTGTCAATGAGTAGTTTAGGCTAAAACAGCCATAGAATGTGGTCAGAGTATGGAGGGGCCTCCACTGATCAGTCACTCCATATTGTGTAGTTTTAAATGTGATCCTCATCCTGATTCACCCTCGGTCATTGCTTTGCATGAAAATTTATTCTATTATGTCCTGAACCGCACAGCTGTTAAAGCACACCTCAGTATCCCTATACATGTTGCTCCAGAATTTAAGTTCAAGTGTTTTTCTATGGGGAATTTTTTCTGCCATAATGCAAGAGCAGACATTTTCAGTCTGAAAGCAGGATTTCATGTTTTTTGTTCTCAAAATACTTTTGCTTACATTTTTATTTTGAAAACAGGACTTGATGTCATTCTTCTCAAAACTTGTAGTGATTGTAGTCAAAATTTCTCCTCCATACTTAGTCTCTGCTCAGACTCTCTACTTGCTTACAAAACCTGTAACTGCTTTTTGGCACAGTCGCCTGGCAACCTCTCAGCCAATAGAACAAAAGTGTTGTACTGGGTGTGTTTGTTTCCTTCTAGTGGGTGTGCCTGTGTGGCTACTAATCTGCGCCACCCACTGGATGTAGAAAGAAACATCAGTTTCTGCTCTGTAGTACACTAAGCATCCGCCAGCAGTGTGCTACTGATCACCAACAGCTACTGATCTCAGGCAGGATTTTGTTCACCCAACCAAAGACAGCAGTCATGACCTATCTATCAATCGATCGATCGAT